TGTGACAGGCGAATGTTCCCCCCCTTCAAAGTGAGGTGCACAGGTCTGGACAAAAAGGCCAAGTACATCCTCCTGATGGACATCGTCTCAGCCGACGACTGTAGGTACAAGTTCCACAACTCCCGCTGGATGGTGGCCGGGAAGGCCGACCCCGAGATGCCAAAGAGGCTGTACTTCCACCCGGACAGTCCCGCCACCGGTGAGCAGTGGATGTCCAAGGTGGTGAACTTCCACAAGATGAAGCTGACCAACAACATTTCCGACAAACATGGATTTGTAAGTTCAACTCATGTATGTCAAGCCTTTTTTTACTCTCTTATCACATTACAATGTTGTTTGTAACTGCTGACATTTGTTGTTGTTGCTGCTGGTTTTAACCCGTTTCCCTCCTCAGGTTGGAGTCGATGTGTTCAGGAAATGTTGTTGCATTAATTACCCCGATGAAGATACACAATTAGGAGCAATTTACAATGAATTACGTCAATCACTTTACGACTGTTTCTGATCTGCTACAGCCTACAGTTAAATGTAGGGCGATAAATCTGTAGCCACGTGATACGTCATAACCCACGCCTCCATATTTGAGCTATTTACTATTTTTTAATATATTAGCTCTTCATTGCACCCTGATAATTATACTGTAGCATTCTCTAGAATGCTGCTCTATAATTTATTTTAGTAATGTCAGAGCCTCTGCTCTATAATTTATTTTAGTAATGTCCGAGCCTGAGGGCTAAGACTGTGAAAATGTCAAACAATGTCCATGTAATATATAAAATATTGCATTATATATGTTTTATATATATTTGTTTCGTTTGTCTTTTTGTGTCTTCTGCAGACAATTCTCAACTCCATGCACAAATATCAACCACGGTTCCACATCGCCAGAACCAACGACGTGCACAAACTGTACCACTGCACATTTAGGACGTACGTTTTCCCTGAGACGGATTTCATAGCAGTGACCGCTTATCAGAACGACAAGGTGAGTCCCAGTATAGGCCGCACTGTATAAATATATATATGCATATACATATAGTCGTATATATAAATATATACACATATATACTCACATATAAAGATATATATACTCATATATACATATATAAATATATATACACATATATACTCACATACATATGCACATATAAAAATATACACGCATATAAATATATACATATATACTCATAAATATATACACATATATACATATATAAATATATATACATACATATACTCAAATATATACACATACAGTATATACTCATATATAAATATATATGCACATATATATAAATATATACACATATATACTTTTTTGTGTGTCTTTTAAAAAAAAGGGTTGAAGTTGTCGGTTTATATCCAGTCGGGGGCGCTTCCCTCCTGCCTTTCAAGCTCTGCACCGTTTTGTTGTCATAAAATATGAAAGAAGTGGCGCGTATTGTGCAAAACGGAGTGTCTTTTATGCCGGGTGAGAAACAGCGGGGTGATAATATTCTAGCCTCTGGTCGGAGAATCACGAATGTGTGGAATGTAGTACAGGTTATCGTCCCTTTATTTAATCACGTGGACAAGATTTGGCACAGACCCAGACTCTGTTTCTCTGTGCGCGTCTCTGTTCGTTAGTGTGTGTGTGTGTGTGGAGGGTGGGGGGGTGTGTGATGAGAGAGAGAGAGAGGGAATAAAGAGGGGCAACACTGTACGCTTGAATGGAGAAAAAGAAAGAGAAAAAAAGAGAGACAGAGAAGGAGAGAGTTGTCGGCTGAGCCAGATCCGTGTTTCTGCTGCTGCTGCTGCTGCTGCTGCTGCTGCGTCACATTTTATTCTCTGCAAGTCATAAAAAAATGATAATGAAAAAAAGGTCTCCGCAGCGCTTTGATATTGTTGGGAAATGATGATGATGATGGTGGTGGTGGTGGTGGTGTGGGTGTTGCCCCCCGCTCCGCGCACGCACACACACACACACACACACACGTCCCTCCTCACATGTGCGGCGGTTTACACAGCCAGACGAGCGGAGGAAGTGATGTGGGAGTCGGGGTTTGGGGAGAGTTTATTTTAAAAATCCAAACAGGAATATTTCACTGTCAACGTGCCAAAACAGGGAGCCGTGCGTGTTTCACGCATTCACGATATAAAACCTGGCAACCTGTGGCTGCTGCAGACTGTTAGAAGAATGTTAGGGAAGTCACGCAGTTATAGAAAAAAAATGAAGAAAAATACAAAAAAAAGAGGTCAAAACTGTGATGTTTGTGCCATTTGAATTTTTAATTTTTGAATTTTTTTTTTTTTTTTAAACATTTTTCAGATTACGCAGCTGAAAATTGATCACAACCCTTTCGCCAAAGGATTCCGTGACACTGGGAACGGGAGAAGAGAAAAGAGGTAAAGAAGAGAGAATGTGTGTGTGTGTGTGTTAGAGAAGACACACCATAATAAGTCCATATGTCGTCACAGTAACCAGTGAGAAGCCCGGGTCTTTACACTTTTAATCAAATACTTAGCAGAGGCCTTGGGGGTTTATTGTTGGTAAATGTAATAAAACGACAGCTGGAACATGTGGCGCTGCACTCTAACAGTTTCCTGTTGGTGATTATTATTATTTTTTTTATTATTATTATTATTTCCACTGACATTTTGGGAGACTCATTTCAACTCTATTATTTTTTCCCTGTTCCTGTTCTGAGTCTGGGTCTGGGTCTGGGTCTGGGTCTGCGTCTGTGACCCTGACTCTCAGTATTCAAACTCCTTCCTCCTCCGCAGGAAACAGCTGGCTCTGCAGTCCATGCGTTCGTATGAGGAGCAGGTGAAAAGGGAGAACGGAGCTTCAGACGACTCCTCGGGGGAACAGCCGTCTTTTAAATGCTACGGCCAGGCCTCGTCTCCCGCCGTGTCCACGGTGGGGCCTCCACACCTGAAAGGTAAGGCTGGGAGAGCCCACAGACAGACAGGGATACCGCGTGTTTAAAAACAAAAACAAAAAAAACGTGGAATATAGAGTTTAATTAGAAAAGCTAGAACCGGAAGTTGGTGTTTGTGGATTGGGAACGATTTGTATGAGGGGGGAGAAAATACAGCAGTCAATAAGGATTATGTTAAGTGGTACTTAAAGTACACGTGCAGCGTATTTTCTGGACAACGATATTAACCGATATTTCGGTTTTCGATATTCGGTTTTGACGCTTTTTTTTTTTTTTTGTGGTCACGTCTTGCAGATTTCTGCGATAGCGACGAGGACAGCGACGACGAGAGCAAAGACGGACTCCCCAAAGACGGTCCGGACTCCAGCAAGATCTCCACGACCACAGAGGACGGGAAGGACCACGAAGCCAGCCCGGTGAAGGCGCATCCCTTCAGCAGCAGTAGTGACTCTGGCAGCAGGGTCCGCGAGAGCGGCCACAAGACTGAGAAAAGCCAGGCCGACTCGCGGCAGAGTCCCGTCACCATCATCTCCAGCACCACGCGCTCCGCGGAAGACCTGAAGAGCCCGGGTCTGCAGGACCCGCCGCCCAAAGCGGACGAGTGCAGGTCGATATCCAAGGACAGCTTCGTGCCTTTGAGCGTTCAGACGGACAGCGGCCACATGGGCCACGGTCATTTGCATAATTTTGGATTTCCCACGGGCCTGACGGGACAGCAGTTCTTCAATCACTTGGGGGGCGCGCACCCGTTTCTTTTGCACCCGGGTCAGTTCAACATGGGAGGCGCGTTCTCGAACATGGCTGCGGGCATGGGGCCACTGCTGGCCGCCGTGTCCACGGGAGGAGTCAGCACCATGGACACGACCAGCATGACATCGCCCACTCAAAGCCTGGCGGGAGCTGCGGGCCTGCCCTTCCATCTGCAGCAGCATGTCTTAGCGTCACAGGTAAAAGAACTGCGGGCCTGCCCTTCCATCTGCAGCAACATGTCTTAGCGTCACAGGTAATATAAAAAAAATTTAAAAAATACTCGCTTTGCTTCGAGTAAAACACGCGTTGCATAATTGTATACTGCAGTACACTTGCTGGCTGCCAGATTTACTAGAAAAGTCTTTAATGTTGCGTTCGCTCCGTTTATGTTTATGTCGGTTTTAAAAGGTTTAAAGTGCGAGAAGGAGCGAGTGGAACTGCTGTGCGTGCGTGTTTATTTGGTTTTTTACGGTGGAAATATTCAGAATGAAGTTCTATTTTGGATTTTACTGCCTCTGCTGAACGCCTGTCAACAGCTGTTCTGGATATAAACACAATTCCTTCAGCGGGGCAGCGATTCAAACGAGAGCAACAGGCGGTTTAAAAAGTTTTTAAAAACAAATTTAAAAAAAGAGAGAGATTTCTCCAAGTTGTGTCTTTATGTTTAGACTGAAACATCGATTTATTTCGATTTTTTTCCACTTTCATTTTAAAATCAATGCCAGATTTTGGACAAAGAAAAACAAACAGTATGGACTTGAAATACTTCGGTTCCGGTTCTAGGTGTGTGTGTGTGTGTGTGTGTGTGTTGTTGCCACCGGCCTCGTAACGACGCATCACTAACGTCATTAACTGTGATGAAAACTATCTGCACAGAGGGAGAAAGTGTGTGTGTAGCGACAGGAACGGCCCCACAAAAAAAAAAAAAAAAAAACACCGCGAGGTTTCACAGAGCACCGAGTCTAATCACCAACTGCCAGAGTTTTTCTGCGCCTCTACAGAATTCCCCCAACATTTCTCTCAGGGCAATATGCAAAATGTGGCCCAAGAATAACTACGAATGTCACCGGAAATGTAGCCGGGACAGAGGAGATGTTTCTAGAAGTGAAATCAAAAAGAATTTGGAGTAAAAATAATAATAAAAAACGCTAAAAATTATTTTAAAAAAAATCATTTGACATCGGACAGATCCAGTAGTTACAGAAGACAAAAACTAAGAAATTAATTTGATAATAGTCTGGATATTTAATAATTTATTTTGGTGGTGGTTGTTGTTCGTGGAGTTCTATGTTTCCATTTGATTGGTTTTGTGATTCAAACTACTAGAAACGTCACACTTTTTGCTCCTCTTTAAAGGACTCTGTTCTTCTGTTGTTCGTGATGTGACGGGTGTTTCAGCAGCAGACAGATCTGGACCTCAGCCAGGCCGAATCAAACGGAGCCTTAGGTTTAATACGGTGCAGAATTAAGGCTGATTGTTGTCCTATAAAAAATAGATGTTTTTTTTTTACAACAAGCTAACAACAGAACTCAGACGACAGAACACGTCCAGTCTAGTTTTGGTTCATGTTGTTCCATGATTCTGTCTCACGGTGTTATTTCTGATGCAGACTCTGATTTTAGTCAGTTCAATTAGATTTTTTTGTCCTTCATTGGAGTTTTTAATGTACTACAACTTACGGGCTCAAAGGTCACGTTTATTCAGCAGCAGCTTTTGCCTTTGGACTATTTGTTTGTTTGTTTTTATCATCCGAGATGTTTGTTTATAACATTAACTGCAGACGAGCACATGCTGGAAAAACTATTTTAACTGACAAACATTTGTAAAATTGAAACTGATTCCACCTCTGCTACAGATGCTAATTTAACACAGGAGCATGTTAGCCTGTAGCAGGCAAAGGAGTTACTTCCAGAAATGTTACTAATATGGTCTTAATGTCTTAGTGTAGACACACACAGGGTGAGGAGGGAAAGGGGGGCGAGGGGGGGGGTCTCTGAGTCTCCAAACAGCCAATAACATCACTCTACGACGGGAATGAGATGAACATGTTCAAAAACACAACCTAGTTTTTCATCATTTTGTGGACAACGCTAAAGAAATCAATTCTTAAATCTGGTCTTCCTAACAACTACAGGCAACACGTCCGTGACGTCACAAAAAATATCCCGTTCCTCAAGTTCATTTTAGTTTTCACCTTGGTAGAAAATGTTGTTTGAAAATCGTTTTTGTAATAAATGGTGTCCAGAGATCTAATCCAGCCGACAGGGGTCTCTGGGGTCTGGGCTGAGGTTCTACTCTTTCCGCGCCCGCTCACATTGGTCTCTCCATGTCTCCACAGGGTCTCGCGATGTCTCCGTTCGGCAGTTTGTTCCCGTACCCGTACACGTACATGGCAGCCGCGGCGGCGGCGCAGTCCGCCGCGTCCTCGTCCGTGCACAGACACCCTTTCCTGAACGCGGTGCGGCCCAGACTCAGGTACAGCCCCTACCCTCTGCCCTCCATGACGGTACCGGACAGCACGCTGCTCACCACCGCCATGCCCTCCATGGCCGGCGGCGGCGTGGAGGTAAAAGGGGACGGCATGGTGGTCCCGGTGAGCCCGGTGTCCGGCGTCACCCTGGACTCCACGTCGGAGGTGACGAGCCACTCGTCCAGTTTGTCTCCAAAGACCTGCGCGGAGAAGGACGCGGCCAACGAGCTGCAGAGCATCCAGCGCCTGGTCAGTGGACTGGACTCCAGCCAGGACCGGTCCAGGAGCGGCTCCCCATGAGAGGAGATTATTATTATTATTAATATTATTATTATTTTAATTTCTTCTTCTTTTAAGAAAACACACACAGAGGGAGGGGAGGGGGACGG